GTTTACAAGAGAGAGGAGAGGAAGTAGAGGCATGGAGTGTAGGTAGCATTTTCAAGTTTAACTACAAAGGGCAGGAGAAATAAGAAGGTATTTAAGAAAAGGGAAGACATAGGTAGCCTTGCAGAGTTGTTAAATAGAGATTGATGATTAGAGAGTGTGGCTGATAGAGAGGGAAATCTATTGGAGAAGTCAGGAGGCGGATCAAGGGTGCTTGTAGAAGAGATTGCCTTGTCAAGAAGAAAGGCCACCTCCTCATCTAAGACAGGAGTGCAAGATAAAGGAGGAAGATGTCTGAGTGGTGTGAAATGAGAGGTGAAGGGGGAATATTCTCAGTTTGAGGCAATGTCCACCTCAAACCTATCAAATTGGAGAAGATGATAAAAACCATAAATGACAATTGTTGGAGAGGATATGAGGAAGATAGACATACTAATGTACTATTGGTGGAACTGTGAATTACTTCAACTATTCCAAAAGGCAATTTGGAAATGTACCTCCAAAGTTGCTAAATATATGTATTACCTATCAATCCCATTGCTAGTCATATAACTCAAAGAGATCAAAGACAGAAAGTATCCATCCATACAAAACGCAATACTTTTGTTGCAACAAAGAAAAGGAAACAAAGAGGATTTGTTCATTGATTGGGGAATGGCTTTACAAATTAGAGTATAATAAAATGGAATATTATAATACCATAAAAATGATGATAGGTTTGGGGTCCAGAATTATTCAACCTACAATAAAAGAAACTGAGGCACAGCTCTGAGCTTATAGCACTTTATTAAAGGGTCCATGGACCCAATGGAGTGGACCTGAGATTTTCCTCACAATCTAAGATGTCCCCTTCCTCCAGGGCCTTAGTTTTATAGTGCTTGATACCCAAATGATACAGAAGAGGCACAGTAAAATACAGAGCCTCATTGGTTGATAGATCTTCACCTTGATTCTCCAGAAGGGTCTATACAAAACACAGAATCTGATTGGCTGACAAATGAACCAATGAGTAGAATCTTGATCTTTCAGGAGGTCCTACCAAGCTGACAAGCAGACCTATTGGCCAGGCTGATAAACAGATATCAAAACCTCTACATGGGCCAATGGGCCAGCAGACAGGCAGGTCACAGGTTGGCACACAGGGCCACTTGTTGGTCAAGTGCTCATGGCCATCTTCACATGTTGGGCCATAGAGGGATGATAAGGGACAGTGGGGCAACAGAAATAGCTGGGGGACTTTCCATGTCATTGAGTCACTTCTGCTACATTGGGGTTGGTCACCGTAACAAAGAAAAACTAGGGTGGAGGTCCTATGCTTGCTACGATTAAAGAGGTAAACTTACAGTCTGTAGTTCACAGCTCTGGGGCCTAATATACAGAACTTATAATCACAACCTCTATGGAATCATATCAAACTGATTAATGCTGATTGGAATAAAATAGGGGTCCAACTAATCATCTAACACATAGAGATGGTTTAAAAAAAAACCCGAGATCAGTGTGAACTGATGCAAAGTGAAGTGAGCAGAACTAGAACAGTTTAGACAATGTCTACGATACTATAAAGGAACATAACTTTAAAAGTCAAGAACTCTGTGGAGAATATATATATAATTTTTTTTTTGTTTTTTGGTGAGGCAATTGGGGTTAAGTGACTTGCCCAGGGTCACACAGCTAGTAAGTGTCATGTGTCTGAGGCTGAATTTGAACTCAGGTCCTCCTGGCTCCAAGAGTTCTGTCCACTGTGCCACCTAGCTGCCACCTGGAATATAATTATTGATTGCAACTTCAGAGGACTAATAAAGTATGTTTACCATTTCTTGGCAGAGAGGTGATGAACTAAAGCAGTGGTATCCGAAGTTAGGGCTGCTCCCCACCCCACCCCAATCCCAGTAGTTGGATTCTGAGAAGACAGTTCCCATCACCACCTTCTCTTCCTCCTCTATAATAACCAATTATGTCTCTTGTCTTTAACAAAATCACACTGTTCTTATCCCTCACCATTCCCCTACTATGTTTTTTTCTCTGCTGTATAAACTTAAAATCTTTATTATGTTGTTGTGGTTAAGTTGTTTTGTTTTGGTGAGGCAGTTGGAGTTAAGTGACTTGCCCAGAGTCACACTGCTAGTGAGTGTTATGTGTCTGAGGCTGGCTTCGAACTCAGGTCCTCCTGACTCCAAGGCCATTGCTCTATCCACTGAGCTACCTAGTTGCCCCTACCTTCCTTATTATGGATGGATGTCAGACTATAACTATCCTGAGGGATCTAACTAATCACCACACCCTATATCACCTCCTGGCTCCATCAGATATCCCCTTGGGAAGAGTTCTGCTCTTGGAGACAGTGACTAGTAAGGGCTCTGTTCTTTTTATTTTCATGGTAAAAAGTGAGTCATAAATGATGACCAGGCATCAATAGAGATGGTTACAGATAACATTCCATCATCTTCCCCTGACCCTTCTCATTTTTCAAATGTCTCCATTGCTGTTAAAGTCACCACCATCCTTCTAGCACTCAGGTTCTCATAAGCCGTCATCTTTGACTTCACACTTTCCCTCACCTTATATTCACATATCCTGTCAGGTGCCTTCTCTCTCATGTCTGTCACTCTCCACTCACATAGCCACTAACTGCAGGTTAGTCCCTCCTAATTTCTCACCTGGACTACAGCAAGGCTCCTAATCTTCCCCACTGTAATCTACTCTCCACACAATTGCCAATGAATTTCCTAAAGTACATTCCCTACTCAATAAACTTATCACTACCTATGTAAGATCAAATATTTTCTCATCTTTATCTCATTCTTTTAATTTCTGCAGTTTTTAAATGTACAATTATCGTACCAGCACATATCAAGAATATATGCTCAAAAATTTTGTATTTCACTAGAGTAAAGGTATGGAATAAAACATTTATTTTCAGACCTGGCCAAGATATGTATTTGTTTTGCTTCATGAAACTTATTTATTATGAGACTTTTGTGGGGTGGGGGAGAATGTTACAAAGAGAACATGGGGAGAGTTGGCAATAATGATATAAAAGGTTGTCAATGAAACATATACAGAAAAAATTCAGAAAGGGAAACAAACAAGCAAGGCAGCATTGATAGAAACCAAAACTGTATTAATATAGTCACAAATGCATATACTTTTTTCCTGTTTTTTTATATGTAAAAATTCATATTTGTTAATGTTTGTCAAGTTTTAAAAATATTTTTAAAAAACAAGGGTCAAATCGTGACTTCAGAAGACTGATGATGTAGTATACCTCCTGCCTGATAATAAAAGGTGCAAAATGGGGTATACATGTCCAGATAAATGCAATGTATTAATTTGTTTTGCTGGACTATACTGACAAAAGAGGGTGTCAGTTGAAGCAGGGTATAATAACAGGAAAAGACAGTGTTATAAAAAAAAGGAAAAGAGCATCAATAAGATTTTTTTTTGTTTTGATAATTTATTTTTAGTTTTCAACTTTCACTTCCATAAGATTGTGAGTTTTAAATTTTCTTGCCCTTCCTCTTCTTTCCCCCCCTGCCCAAGAGACGTCAAATAGAATATGGCTCTACTTACACATTTATCTTAAGCATATTTTCCCATTAGTTATGATGTAAAGAACAATTAGAACTAATGGGAGGAACCATGAGAATGAAGCAATAAAACAAAACAACAAAGGAAAAGGAGAGCAAATAGTATGCTTCCATTTGCATTTAGATTCCATAGTTCTTTCTCTGGATGTGGATAGCAATTTCCTTTGTGAGTTTTTTGGAGTTGTCTTAGATTCTTGCATTGCCGTATAGAGTCAAGTCTATCAAAGTCAGTCATTGTAACAATGTGGCTATTACAATGTACAATGTTCTCCTGGTTCTGCTCATTTCACTCGGCATCAGACCATACAAGTCTTTTCAGGTTTTTTTGAAGTCTGCCTGCTCATCATTTCTTATAGCACAATAGTATTCCATTACATTCATATGCCACAACTCTTTCAGCTCTTCCCCAATTAATGAGCATCCCCTCAATTTCCAATTCTTTGCCACCACAAAAAGAGCTGCTATATTTTTGTACATGTGGGTACTTTCCCCATTTTTATGATCTCTTTGGGGTACAGCCATAGAAGTGCTATTGCTGGGTCAAAGAGTATGCACATTTTTATAGCCCTTTGGGCATAGTTCCAAATTGTTCTCCAAAATGGTTGGATCATTTCACCACTCCAACAGTGCCTTAGTGTTCCAATTTTCCCACATCTTCTCCAACATTTATCAATGTCCCGTTTTGTCATGTTAGCCAATCTGATAGGTTGTCTTGATTCACATTTCTCTAATCAATAGTGATTTAGAGCATTTTTTCATATGACTATAGATGGCTTTAATTTCTTCATCTGAGAACTGCCTGTTCATATCCTTTGACTATTTATCAATGGGGAATGACTTGTATTCTTATAAATTTGACTCATACAAAATGGATAATTTTGATTACATTAAATTGAAAAGTTTTTGCACAAAGCCAATGCATCCAAAATTAGGAGGAAAGCAGAAAACTAGGAAAGAATTTTTACAACCAGTGTCTCTGATAAAGGATTCATTTCTAAAATATATAGAGAACTGAGTCAATAAGATTATTTTTTTTTAGGGGCAGCTAGGTGGCGCAGTGAATAGAGTACTGGCCTTGGACTCAGGGGACCTGAGTTCAAATCTAGCCTCAGACCAAACACTTGACACTTACTAGCTGTGTGACCCTGAAGTCACTTAACCCCAATTGCCTTAAAAAAAAAGGGGGGGTGAGATTAATTTTTTTTAAAAAGAACCAAGGTCATGCCACATACTACATAACTTAGGAACAGGAAAACACTATTTTGTCAAATGCAAATTTTATTATAGCAATTTATATTGCTTAGAAATTGGCAAACTCAGAAAACTTGAAAAATTTATAAAGTAAAAAATAACTTCATAGTTTTCAAGTTCATTCTAAGTATTGTACTTCATTTAACCAAACTATTAATAGCTGCTGTTGTGTTTATTCTCTTAACATAATGTAATATACTGTACAATAACTTATCTTTGAAAATACACAAATGAAAATATACAAAGAAAGAAATTAGCTATTATTTTACATATATAGTGTTGATGCAGAATTTTTTTTTCCAGCTATGTAGGAAGAAAGGAAGTTAAACCAATCTCCTGGAAATTGTATTGTATAAGGTCTGCTTTTGTGTTTCTGATGCATTAGTAGTTCCCTGTATTGACTCAAGTCTTTTAATTGTCTATTTTTAACTCTCTGGTATGGAAAACAAAACCAAATGGAATTTTAATGTAATTTATTTTATTAGCAAAGCCCCAGAAAACAAATTCAGTTGTATTTTTTCAAATCAAGGTGGTAAAGTTATATTTTCTAAAACAACTTAGATATCCTTCTAAATTCAAAGCATGAGAATAAATGCTATTTCAATCAGGAGCAAAGTCTATTATAACCAATTAGCAGGTAGAACATAAATTCCAGAAAAGCAATTTGTCCATTTACAAAGAAAATTTGATCAAAATATCTTTTAGTTCCATGGATATAATTCATAAACATGAAAAAGATGTCACATTCTTCAATAATATATCTTTCCAGTCTAATTTGTTTTTTGTAATTCAACAAACTTTATTTAAAAAAATTAAATGCATGCATTAAAGAACAAAAAATGCATACGAATACAGGCTACTATCATTAAGAAATTCAAGTACAAAAGGAACTGCCTCAAGTTAATTTTCCACTTCCCTGTGGTTCAAGCATCACAGTTTTAAGAAATTCATCCTAAGGGTAGATAAATTAAAATTTCTGCCACCATAAGATGCAACATAAAAACAATGTCAATATTTCCCAAAATATTAAATAACATGTAGCTTACTATACTTTCTATATATGGAAATCTAAGTATATTTAGCTATAAAAGCAAAATGCAATCTTTACATTTATTTTAGATTCTTTGAACCACTTGAAATATTGAGATATAAAACTTCAATAAATAATAAGAAATGAAATGTCTTTATACTCCCAAAGCAGCTAAACCTAAAGAACCTTAATCAGCAACATCAGTATATAAAAACAACTGAAAGGGTAAGCTTTCAAAAGGTAAACCTAATCCCTCAATGTAGTAAAATTTTAAAATTACTTTTGAGGGAAGGAAATATGCTATGTTATAGTTTTCTTTGAAGGTTTAAAAATCCCCTAAGCCAAATCAAAGTGCCCATCAAACTGAAATATACCATATTTTCCAGTGTTCATCCACTGAGGATCAGTAACTGCAACCTGTTCCCCTTGCCCAGGTGCCAGACCAACTTGAACTTCAGCTTTTACTGTTCTAATGCTACAGAGAGGTGCAGGATGGAAGCCATTCAAAGCCTGATGAAATGGAACCGTAAACCCCCATTTTCTGTCTCCTACTAATTTCCTATAGTTCAAATCACCTTTGAAAAGAATTAAATTTGACTTCTGTAGTTCAGCATACAAGTCAGGAGCAACCTGAGACATAGCACAATATTCATAAGGCAGAGTCCAAAACATATGATCGTGGTAAACCCATGAATGCTTTTTAAAATAGTCCTCCCAGTTAATCCCACACTCAGACATACACTTGGTATTAGCAGCTTTTAATTGTTCAATCACCCAATTTATGTCATTTTTATTAGTATCTGAAACATACCAGGGAATACTTTTTCCATGGAAGTGGATCTCAGTAGCCAGCTTAGATGCTAACAGGAAGTCTGCCATTACCAAATCTGTAACAAGTTCAAATCCTGCATTATCCAGGACAAAATCCACTCTAGTAACAGAAAATGTCTCCTGCCTCATTTTCTTTCTGTTTATAAGCAGTAACCAAAGATAGTCCATATTATTCACTAAAATGAAAGGTTTCAGGTCTTCCAAAACAGTCAGTGGACTAGATGTCTGAGAGCTGCTCTGACCACCTGAAAGTGACAGATCACACTTATTTCCCCATAACGAAATCTGAAAAAAAAAGTACAAAATAATTGTTGTTCATTACGTAGAAACAATTCAAATACTTCAAAGGCTACGTTTTAGTGGCAAAAGACATGATGGTTCTCCCATATAATTCAAAGGTGACATTAACTAATCTTCACATGAAGAATCATTCTGCTATGCTATCGACAATATTTCAGTTTGACTGATGGCATTTTTCACTTTAAAACCAATTGTTTTGAAATTAGAAAAGCAGACTCAAAAGAAAAATCCAGCCAGTCAATCCACTGCTATATTGTGGAAAAGCAAAATTTCCCCCATTTATTTGTTCTGAGCAGTTGTTAAGATACTGAAAACTGACTAAAATAGTTTTTAAAAGGCTCAAATAACTAATTGTTTAAAATATTATTTTAAAAATATTTCTTTTCGCTCCTAAACCTACCTCCAACAAAAATAAAGTAACACATAGTGGTATTAATACTTTGTCATTGCAGACCATTTCAATTAGAATGCAGTAGTTATGTTTGTTTGTAAGGAAAAACCCATGGGCAGCTAGGTGGCGAAGTGGAAAATGCACCAGCCCTGGAGTCAGGAGGACCCGAGTTCAAATCCGGCCTTAGACCAAGCACTTGGATACTTACTAGCTGTGTGACCCTGGGCAGCAAGTCACTTAACCCCAATTGCCTTTAAAAAAAAAAAGTTAATTTTCAATATCCCATGTATTTGTTTGGTTGGAGGCAATTGTGGTTAAGTGAATTGTCCAGGGTCACACAACTACTAAGTATCTGAGGCTGGATTTGAACTTGGGTTCTCTACTTCTCCATAGTCAATGTAAACTATCATACTAGTCTTTCAGGGTAATGTTGGACATTAAAAAATAAAAGTTTCATGTAACCTCCCCTCTCCTTTGCCCCTTGGCTTTGACTGACCAGTGTGGTAGTTTGGGGGCACTAAGTAAAACTGGTAGCAAAAAGTGGGGAGCACTCTCCCCATATATCCCATATCCCTTTGTGGTTTAGGCAGGGAGGACAGTTGTGGAGATGAACATTAGGGATGAAACCAAGGGTGAGTTTTCTTGTTTTAAAATTCCATCCTTAATTTAAAAGTACAGTTTAAGGCGGGGGGGGGAAGTTATATAAAATATTATACAAACTCTGGAGTATTCCAGCCAACCATAACCATTCCATTACCTCTTTTAATTAATCTTATATATCTTATCCATTTGAACAAGGAGTGGAAATTTAGTCTAGGTAACGAAAGTCTGGAATCAGTTTTTGAAACCAGAGGATTCCATTAAGATATTATTCCAGTATTCATGATTGCAAGCTTCACACTGGCAGCAGAATGCTCTGTTATTGATGGATTATCTTGCTTTCACAGACAGACTCACCCACATCTTTAGAATTTAGTAGTATGCAAAACAAAACAGCTGACTGGGATTATATAAAATATAGGCCATGGGTCAAAAGAAAGGCCTGCAATCTGTAGAATCTAACTTTCTCTTTCCAAAGCCTAGGTAGCATAAGTGAAACATTGTGTTGGCATAACTAATTTACAAACATATAGATGGACTGATTATATAACCAAAGTGAGGGCTTAAACAAGCCCAGGTACTGTACTAGCATAAATATACTAGTATAAAATACAGCAAGGATCAGAGAAGGGGTAGATGTCTCCTCTACAGAGGGTTTATGGGAAGATATGAGTAGGTTATAATCTGCACTGATGCAAAGAGGACTCACACTAATAAGATCACAGATATATTCAGATGTAGTTACAAGCATATTAATCTGAGGTGAAAATGGAAAATGAACTCCAGGTTAATGTAAAAAGTGTTCTGCCAAGATTGATAGTTTTAAGTCATTTACTACCTACAGTATTCAATTATCAGTATTAGACAGTATCCTCAAAATACTTCATCTTGATATTTTATTTAAATCCCTTTTTAAATTTTACTCATTTTTAAAAACAGCCCTGCAACTAGATTATAAACGTCTTGAAATAAGGGAATAAGAATATGTGTATGTGTGTATTGTGAAAAATGATTATTACTAACCAACATCTTGGAGATTCAGAGTTTCTCCCAGCCCCCTTCTTCCAGAGTCCTAACTTTAAGTTCAGTTTTTCTTCAGGAGACAACTAATAATGAGATTGTACTGACTCTCCTTATCCTGGTTAGCTCCTACCCAAGCTAGCAAGTAATTTAATCTAAAATAAGTAAAACCATTGTATTCTAACTCAAGCTTGGCTAGAGACTGATTGTTTTGTTTAGATGGGCAAAGGCTGGGAGTGGTCTGGTATAACTGGCGGTGGTATTTTCTTTGTCTAGATAAATTCCAAAGTTAAAGATTTATTTTGCTTTAAGGTCTAGTAAGAGAGATATCTATCATTTTAGAGGTTTCGAACTAATTTACTTTTGTGTTTGGAAGGCCTACTAAATTTTCATTTGCAAGCTAATTTATTGTGATAATAAGTTGATATTAATAACAATTATGTTCAAACTTATTATAAATTTCTGAGTTTCGTTCCTAGCTTTGTTGCGTCCTTGGAAAACTTTAAATGGGTGCTTTCAGAGAAACAAAGTCAGAAGCTCAATGGAAGCAACAGAGATCTAAGGCTAGTGATTTATACTAAAGCATCTAAATTACTGTAATGAGTTGTAAGTAGGAAAGATCTTGCTGTATTGATCTGAATTTATAGTCATTCCATGGCCTAAGCAAGAGTTAAAATTAGTGTTGGAACTTACCATATGTATAAGATTCAATTCCTGAAGTACTGTTCTTTCAGATTGAATATTATCAGAAAGCTAAACAAACTTGAGAAACAAAGATATGAATCTCTTAAGTTGTGAGGTTAAAGTCAGGAACCTCCTTTGTTTTTCTTTTAAGGAATCTATTCTAAATATGTATGATTGGCCTTGGTAAATTTAAATATATTTATGAATATGTAAAAAATTATCTTTTTATAACTAGAAATAAATATTTGTATTATATATAATTATATGTGAATGCACACACACACACACACACACACACACACACACCACACACACACGGAAAAAGAGAGAACAGAATAACATTTACTTGCAAGAGTTTAAAAAACTCATCCTTCAGCTGATTTTCATCTAGGTTTTCAATCTTATTTAACCCTTGTAGGTAACTACATAAAATCCTAATAGCTTCCTGTGATTCCAAGAAATTCTGTTCTTTTGGTTCTTTAAACACATCCAAGTCACTGATTGGTGAACTAAAAATGGGGACAAAAGAAACAGAAAGTGTAAAAATGATCAGAATCAAAACGTGTAAAATAATCACAATGCTATATTTTAAAGTTGTTAATAGTGTCCTATCCTAGTAATTCAGTAGTCAAATCTTAAACTTAATAAAGGCTGAGAAACATAAAACTTCTTGAAAACTGAAATCTTCTATGGATAATCCTAAAAACTTACTCTGACAAATCATAGCCCTTTCCCAATATACAATATTGAATAATTTGGTGTTTTCTCCTTGTTTGCCAAGTTCTTCAGATAAAAACTTGTGAGTGGGTGCTACTATAATTCCAATTTCACAGATGAGAAAACTAAGACAGGAAAGCATTAACTGACTTGCCCATTGTCAGAAAACTAAGTCTTCCAGGAGAAATTCAAACTGGGGTCTTCCTGAGTCCAAATCTAACACTATCTACTTGGCCACCTAGCTGCCTTAATTTCATTATACAGTCAAGTTTTGATTACCTATGTGCAGGTTACCTTTGGAAAATTTAAAATTCCAAATTGATTACTCCTATCTCCTCATCCCCATGCTTGACATCAATTATTTCCTAGGCCATCTCATAACAGATTATGGAGAAATAAGATTAATGTTAATCAAAGAAAATAAATAGAAAGCTAAATCTGAAGAAAAAAATGATGACATTTCAAAGTCAAGTACAAAAGATTTGGGGGTTATCTTCTATTCCTTAATTATGCCTATTATGGGTCCCCCCTTAGATTCAGATGAAAAATTGAAAGTTTATGGTGTATAAGTTGTGACAAGGAAATAATGTGACTGATTTGAGTTGCTGTTAGTGTTTGTCCTTCATTCTTGAAGAGGACTATGACATCAGGGAGGTGATGCCAAGACATGCAAGTGAATTGGATTTTAAAAAGTCACCTTCTCTTTTGGAGCCATCTGGGTCCAGTGGTCACATATAGATCAGGAAAACTGGAAATGGCCCAGGATGTAGAGACCTTGGCCTTTTCAAGCTAGGGTCTTTAACAGGACTCAGGTTGAGCGAGGCAATGACCATTCAGTGATTAAGGCTTAATGAGAAATGAGGCAGAGAATGGCCTTTTTACTTGGTCAAAAAAAAAAAAAATCTGGCCACTGGACCCAGATGGCTTCAGAGGAGAAAGTTGAGGCTGGTGACTTTGCACAAACCCCCCTCACTTAAATCCAATTCACTTGCATGTCATGGCATCACCTCCCTGAGGTCATGGTCCTCTTCAAGAATGAAAGGACAAACAACAACCTCCAAGAGTAGAAAAGGAAATGCCCACTGGAGACCAAACTGGAAATGGCCAGCTGGGCAACATGTCTTCCTCTTTCCCTTCTTTCCCTTCCCTCAGTCCACATAGGGTATCACACCCTTACCAGCAGGTGCTCTGCCCAAAGGGAAAGTAAATTTTAATATCTGCAACCTGTTCTTTTTCCTTTCTTAAAGACCATTCTTAACCCCATACCACTCAGGTTCTCTTACACTGGCCAACAATAGGTCCAAGGGGAAACCCTTCTTGGTCACCGTTGGCCATGACTGGCTCAGATTCAATGTAAATAGCAACCATTTCTGTTTTGGACAAAAACCCTGAGGGTCTTCCCCTCTCATATCTAAATGAGTATGACCTCCTCTTTTGGTACTTTCTTCAGAGCCCATGACACAGTCTTTTGAATATTTTCAATGGTGGCAAATCATCATCTTCTGATAGTAGATTTAATTTTTGGAAAACAGGTAAAGTTCTTTGGAGCCAAGTCTGGTAAATAAGGCAGGATGGATCAAATTAAGTAATACCATCTTATTTCAAAATTGAGGCATGACCATAAGATAGTGAGACTTTTCCTGTATGGCTCATAAACTGTTCTGAAGGCAATTTCAAAAGAGGAATTTCACAATATTTTTGGTGATGACAGTATGACTAGAATAAGTATATTAATTCTCAATGTGACTTTGAAGAAAAACATCCATTTGCATGTTTAACTTATACTGTATTTGTTTATATAATTCAAAATAACATTCTGTTGTCACTTTTCAGTATCTGAAAAGTACTTCTTACAATAAATGACTAAGAAATTTTCAATTCTTACCTCTGACTTACAGATAAATAACTATTACAAAATTAATGTTGGTCTATTAGGACCTGCAGAAATGCTAAAGGATAGTAGTTTCCACCCCCACCTCCCCAATAGTCTAGGGTCAAAATATAAACAAGTCTACTCTAAGACACCTGAACTCCCCACCTCTTTAGTTCATTCCTTCAAAGAGCTCTGAATCAATAACACAAGATTGCTTTAAATTTTTTTTATATGTTCACTCAGCATTGCAGATTGTCATGTCAGTTATAAACATGTGAATCTATACTATCATTTAGAAAATAGTTTGATAAGTAATGTTGCAAGCTAAGAAACAAATTAATTATAGCCAACAAAATTTAATAATGAAGGAGAAAGGGTAGACTCCATTGAACATCTAAATTCTTTGAAGTCCATGCATAAAGCACTTTAACAACAGAAAAAAAAAAGAAATGCAAACATCAAAGGCAGGAATTAGGATTAGCTGTGTGAAAAAAAAGTTAAGATATGAGACCAGACTCTTCTCAACATCAACAAGATGGTATAATGGAAAGTGTTGGGCTTGGAACCAGGAAGAACAGAACACTTACTAGCTGTGTTATCCTGGACAAGTCATTAAATGCTCTCTGCCTCAGTTTCCTCATCTGTAAAATTGACATACCCACAGAGTTGTTATGAGGAGCAAATGAGAAAACATGTAAATCACTTTGTAAACCATGAAGTGTTATATAAATATTGTATTTGTTTATTTATATTGAGCGTACTATATGCAGAGTACTATGCTTGGCAGTGGGAGAGATGCAAAGGCAGAGAAGAGCTCAGCAAGGTGTCCAGTTTGCCTACATATATAGCACAGAGTACATGAAAGACAGTCCTTTCTGCCAAGGCTCAAAAGGAACAAATGTTACAAGGTAGTGGGAAGGAATGTAAGTAAGCAAAAGAATTTTATTCAGAAGGCAATAGCAGTCACTGAAGACATGTGACCAAAGGGTGATTAGCCAGAATCTCCATGAGATATTTTTCAGATACTGTTTTCAGATACTCTGATACTTCCAGATATTCTGGAAAGGAATAAAGATGGATAAGAAAGAGAATGGAAGCAGGAAGAAGGTTTGAAACCAGGGTGCTGGGAAATGGGAAAAATTAACAAATGTGAAAGATGTCATGACTTTTAGTTTAGTTTTGGTTTTTTTTAGAGTGGCTGGACTTCAGGCAGTACAATGAAAATGACACAGTGATGTACTGGTCTGATGTTTTCTTTCATGAAACGAATGCTGAAATGTTACCTATTTTTTACTGTTAGAAATTTACTGTTTTGCTTTTATATTTAATTATTTTAAAAAGTCAGATTGTATCTATACTCTTAAGTCTTACACTGACATTTGGCCAAAAGCTATGAATTTGGACTTTGTCAGAAAATAAACCTTTAATACAAAATAAGCAAAGTAATCAGTATTTAAAAGGATTTTAAAATGGAATGCCAGGCACAATCTCAAAGTACACACATTTCAGTGAAACATAGCACAGTTGTAACATATTTATAACATAATTTTACAGAAATAGGCATCTGAAAACTTCCTGAAACTCACTTATATTCCCACTAATACAATCTAACCACCTAGCTTTTATAGGTCCAAGCAGTTTTTGACAAGATATTAACTTACCTTAGCATTAATGCTTCATGAATTCTGCGATACATGTAACACTCTACATACAACCAAGGAGACTGAAACCAGCTTATTTTTTTATTGGTTTCATTTAAAAGACTATGGTGATATTTCAGGTATTGGTTCCATATATCAGTATCAACCCAGTTATCAGTCAAAGGTAGTAATGGCTCATCAGTTTGTAGTTCATTTAGTAACTTAGAAAGAAGAGAGAGAAGTTTCTTTTCTGCTTCAGTGCCTACCTGGAAAAGAGAATAAAAAATGCCTTTCACAAATTGTATTCATCATAAATTATGTTTTTAAGCATCTGAAACTCAAAAAACAAAATTGCTTTTTGAGGGTCCTGGATTTTTACAGTCGCCAAAAGCTGTTTAGAATGAACTGTGTTCCAATCTAGAATTCTGAAGTTCCAAATCAGTTCCTATTCATGAAGTTTTCATATAAATATACATAAATACCAGATGGTTGTAACCAAGATAGTGAATTGTGTGTTTGGAATGAAACTTGGTGCCCTCTCCCTCAAATATATGTGACAAATAAGGGAAATAAATCACTAGAAGATTAATGGAAAGACCGTAAAAAATAAGCAGAAAAGAAAAACAAATCCAATGAAGAGATACTATGGGATAAAAGAAAGCAAAAGGAAATACCTGTAAGAAAATAAAGACTACAATATTAGCAACTATACCCCTAGAAGAGAGGATGAAATATGCTAGAAACTTCTACAGATTTAGAATCACACTAATAGTTACATTTATATAGGATTTTACATAGGACTTCAAAGTCTACAAAGCATTTTACATAAATTATCTCATTTTTGGCTTCAAAATAACTTGATGAAATAGGGAACCACAGGTATTATCCACCTTCTACAGATGAGGAAAATACTACTCAGTCATTTAAGTGACTTGCCTAGGGCAGAATTTGTACCCTGTCTCCAAGGCCAACACTGTCCATTATGCTACATTGTCTCTCTAGGAGATATAAGGAAATATCTGGTAGCTCTTAAGACTGTTGTTACTAAAGGAAGAATGGAAGTCTATGAAAATAACAATTGATAATATTGAAAGGATAGGGGGGAAATCTCAAAGAAGTAGTAAATTCTCTGAGGGGTAGAGATGAACAAAAAATGAAGAGATGAAGAATAGAAACCTAATTTAACTAACTCAGAAATAGAGATGATGAAATCTAGAGCTACCATGTCAAAGAGAGAACTCATAAGCATCCAGGAGAAGGCAATTTACATTATAGCAAAAAACAATTCGAATTGTGAAAGGTTCAACAAGGACAAGGAATTAGAGGCCAAAATGCAATATGCTTTAAAAAAAAAGAGAGAGAAATTGGCCTGTGCCCCAAAATTGTCTATCATCAAGAAGAAGCATACTTTGTCATGAAAAAAGATGGTTTATCCATGAGGTTAAAAAAAAAATTCTTAGTAATTTGTTCCTGATGAGAAATACAGAAGCGGAGAGGGCATCTGACATGTTTTAAATCAGATTGCATAAAGGACAATGAAAGTTGGCAGTTCCCATACATGTCACCCTTTATAATTCCTGAAAAACATAGCATTCATTTCCCAGAAAAGTAGTAGGTTCTCAGAAGATCCAAGGCAGGGACAAACTAGGCCATGACAGTCCTGTCAGCTCTGTCAGCTGAACCTAGAACCTGGCCCTAACCCAAAGTCCCAATCTGGGAAGTAAGGATGAAAAATGAAAATTAAAAAGACTGCCGCAATAAAGAGATATTATGGCATCAGGAATACTTAGGACCCAAACCCAGAAGGAAGTAACTCCAAAATACCTACAAGCACTATAAGTTCAATTAGTATTATTAGAAGTAAAGCAAGGGTTTAAAAATGATATAATGAATGAAATGAGAGTGCTAAAAGAAAGAACTAGAAAAGAAATGATAATTTTAGAGGAAAATCTCATAAAGAAAACAGCTTAGCATAAAAGTTAGAAAGAGAAGAAAGCCCAGGACATAACCTGGAGAAACACTCACTATACATTTACTTTACCAACAGCACTATATAATAACTACCACATAAAACATAATAAAACCACATAAAATAGTTTCTATGGGGAAAAAAGTGTGTTCAGAGTTCCAACTTGGGATTTTCAATGAGTACATTAGAAGGGGTAGGAAGATGAACCCCTAAGCATCACGATCCTGGAAAAGTCCTTAACCTCTCAGAGATTTTTCTCATCTAAAAAATGAGGGTATTGAACTAGAGGTCTCTAAGGTCCCTTCCAGTTCTAACTCAATGATCCTTAGCATATTTAGTGAATTAGGAGAGCAGTTGGAGCCTGAGAAGAGAGATACTGGGAAATGAAAGGATATTAAAAAGGAGGCAGAAGGATGTTCCCACCAGTCAGAACTCAGGCCAATACTAAGAGTTATAATACAGCTACATTATGGGATAAATAGGCTTTTATGGCATAATCTTAGAAACTAACCACCATTTATAAGACTTTAATAAAAACAGATCAGTATCATTATATCTGTTATTAAAATAGAAAACTGAAGTCAAAAAACTTATTTAGCAACATTTACCAGGTTTCTGCTAAGTGGCTAATCAAAAAGATAATTATTAAACATACAACCCTTACCTCTCCAAGCTTCTCAAAGAACTCATTTTTATGTTGCTGCAATGTATTGATAACCTTTATTAGGATCTGTGGTGCTCGGTTTTTCATTGTAAAATATGCAAAAGATCTAAAAAAGAGAGAGGTAATACACACTAGTATGTTATTTAATGACAATAAAATATTACCAGTAATAGATCTGGTATCCCTTCACTTACAAAATATATCTCCACTTCACAATTACTTTTCACATACTTGCTATGTCATTATTAGTACGTCAATGTACACTATTTTGAGATATAGCAGTAAAATGTAAGAGGCTAAATGGTATGCTAGTCAATTTATTTCAGCAAATATTTATCAAATTTTTATTATATAAAATGTACCAAGGATACAAAAATTTAAATGTAAAAAAGTTCCTGCTTTAAGAGTTTAGAATCTAGTAGAAGTAATCATTTTCTTACTACTATTTTAACTAATTGTGCAAGTATATAAGAGGCGTAAATTTCCAATGACCTGTCTGCTTGGTACTTCCATGTCTTTATGGGTAACATGTATACTCCCAAATGTAATCATCCAGAGACACTGATCTAAAAGCAAATTCTTTCTTCTATATAGTGGCCCCCAGTACTTTTATTCCTATTCACCTAGCCCTAATTACCTACCCCAAAACACTACACAACCCCATTTTCCCCTACTTGCTCCTTCTTTTATGCCCTTTGGTGTAATTACCCCTTCCACTATTAAACTCCCCTTTATGCTCCATCTCTTCCTTTCACATTCCTTGCATTAACCGAAACGTGGCTTTCCCAAGGGCTCTGGATCTCTGGTATTCCCCAAATGCTGGCTGCTCCATCTTTTCTACCTTTCCATACTCTCAGGTAGAACTGGCACATGTCTTACTCTCCACTACAAATTGCAAACTTTTACTCTGCAAACCTCACTCAAGTCATTCAACAATTCAAGATTCTATGAAGCTCTTTTCGGTAGAAACTTATTCTGGCTATACTATAATCCCTGATGGCTTGATTGGACCTGCACCCCCAAAAGGAAAAGCTGATGGCTTTGAAAGCAACCCAGTCCCTGAATTTTCCCATATTTTTCAGCAGCACATATCTCTGTCTAGCCCAAGGCACCTGTGTACTTGACAATCTTTTCAGAGGCTCTAGGCCCACCACAGACTACTTAATATTCCTTTCAAGAAGGCACCTGGTTTACCCCAGGCTATTTACCACTCCTAAATCCCATCCAGATCTTTTCACTGTCCTTTTTTTGTGTATAAGTACCAATCTTACCTCCATTAAGTTCCAAATTCACTAGAAATCTCCCTGCCTCTAAAACAATAAACCTTCCTACTTTGACTGAAAGAAGGCTTGAGTGCTTGAATTCTTTTCTGTCAGACCTCCTCACCCTTACATTTCGGGGTTCCCAGCACCCCAAACTGCACCATACCCACCCTGGAGAGACACGTCTCTTTCTTTGAAACTCTGGCATCTGACTTATAGTTTTTCATCTTTTCCCTTTTCTATTTTTTTTCAAAGACTCATTTAAATGGTTCAGGACTGCTTCAACTGTATATATCTTTTCCTCATTATTTCTTTCATCTTGTTCTTTACTAATTCTGAATTTGGGTCTGATGAGTCAAAAGACATGACTATACAGAGAGCTTACCCAGGAATAAAGCCCAAATCAATCATTCCTTTTCTGTGAAAGTATATAATCTACTCCATTCTTTATGGCATTATTTGATAAACACTATTTCCCCCACCTACCACTTCTTTTTTTTAAAAATTGAACTTACTTTTCCCTGACATTTTAAGTTCCAAGCTGTCTCCCTCCCTCCCCATCCTGAACTAGAGGACACAATTTGACACAAATATATATATATACACATACAGATATGTAAAACCATACTATGCATATTTCTGTTTATCACTTTTTTGGCTGGAGGTGGACAGCATTTTCCTTCATAAGTGCTTTGTAGTTAATTTGAATATTTATAATACTTAGAATAGCCCTAGTCATTCAGAGTTATTCTTCAAACAATGTTGTTGTTACTAGATATAACATTCTCTTGGTTCTGTTTATTTCACTCTTCATTATTTCACACAAGTCTTTCCATGTTTTTCTAAAATCTACCTGTTCATCATTTCTTACAGCACAGTAGTATTCCATCACAATCACATACCACAACTTGTTTAGCTATTCCCCAGTTAATAGGCATCCCCTCAATTTCTGGTTTTTGCCACCATAAAAAGAATTGCTATAAATACAACAAATAGTTCTTTTCCTTTTCCTTGAGTACCCTGGGAAACAGACCAAAGCATAATTCCAGATTTCTCTTGCAAATTGTTGGACCTAACACTTTTCTTTAAAAAAAAAAAAGTCGCAATACTGACACATGTACAGATCTTTGACATCTTTTGTTTCTTCTTCCCAGACCATCCTTTCCCATATCTTTCTCCCCAAATTCAATTTTCTTCCCTCTGCATTAAAATCTCCCTGGCAGCTAGGTGGCGCATTGGGAAGAACACAGGCCCTGGAGTCAGGAGGACCCAAGTTTAAATTCCACTTGGACATTTACTAGTTGTGTGACCCCAGGCAGCCACTTAATCTCTACTGTCTCCAAAAACCAAACCAAAACAAAACAACAACTCCAAGTATCAGAGCATATGTTAATTCATATGAATATGTTACTTCAATCAATTAATATAATACTGAGGATAAATACTGGGGATATATAGAAAAAAATGTTCACAATAAATTAAATACAAAGTAAGAGAGGGCAAATACAAGGCTTTATGAAGAAGATGGTGCTTGAGCTGATTCTTGAAAAAAAAACCTAGCTTTCCTAAGTAGAAGGGGAGCAAAACTGTATTCCACACACGAGGGATAGCACATGCAAAGGCATGGGAGATGGAGCATCACCTGACAGGAATAGCAAAAAGGCCAGTTTGGCTGAACCAGACTGTATATAAAGGGGTTATAAGGCTGGAAAGTTGTTTTGCAGACCTTTCTTCCCTTTCTCTAAAAACTCTGGCACTTGACTTACAGTCTTTATGTTCTCCCTTTCCCATGGTTTTTTTTTCAGAGACTCACTTAAATGGTTTAGGACTGCTTCATCTTATTATTACTTTTTCATCCTGTACTACACTGGATGTAGACTTGGAAGACCCAGCCACTTAACCTTGAGCAAATCACTGTCTTTAAGCTCTTTTAACTTCAGTTTCTTCATCTATAAAACTGGAGAGGGACAATGAGACATGAACTACCTGTAAGACCTTGGTCATGTCACCAAACCTTCCTGTGCCCCTCTTTTGCCATCTGTAAAATAAGTCGTTGGTTGGAACAAATAATGATAATGGCCTCCCTGACAAGATGCCCTGAGATACACCCTCTAGGCCTACGACTACAATATTTCATAAGGATGTTGGATATAAATTAGGGAAACTAGAGTAGTATGCAAATGCCATTTTGAAAATGAATTTGAGATAATTCTGGTCATTGTGCTTAAATAAATACCCATTACATTATCTTCACTCTTTCACAGTTCTGAAAATAATTTTTTCTCCTCAGAGTTAGGTTGTATCTGTGTTTATTTCTCTCAAAAGGGATGGCAGTTTGGAACTAAGCTCACTTTTAATTTAAGGTGAACAGTTTATATACCCTTCCAACAGGGGCATTTGTCACTCTATCATCATTTCACCCCTGGAGAGAGTAAAATGCCACTCCCAGCTATACCAGAGCACTCCCAACCTTGGCCCATCTCGACAAAAGAATCTGTCTCCAGCCAAGCATGAGTAGAACACAATGGGCTTCCCTATTTTAAATTACTTGCAAGCTTGGTTTGGGGCTGACCATGGTCAGGAGTCAATGCAATCTCATTATCAGTAATGCCTTTCTGAAAAAAACTGAACTTAGGTAAGTCAGGACTCTGGAAGAAGAGGTCTGGGGAAAGCTCTGAATCTCCAAGATACTGGTTATTAATAATCATTTGAAAACATTTTAAGTTATTTTAAAAGATAGAAGTTATGAATACAATGAATATGCATATGATTGATCCAACTTTTCAGAGAAAATAGGATCAAGTAATATATTTTAATGCTTTGCAAAAGTTTAAGACACTATATAAATGTTCACCATTATTATTTTTTACAGGAGCATACAACTGTATAGCAACAAGGAACTTCAGAAATGACTTAACTTAATTGCATTTTCAAACTGAGATGAGGAGAGGTTTTCAAGTCACTCAATAAATATTAAGCACCAATTATGTGCTAGGCACTGTGATACAAAAGGAGGCAAAAGAACATCCTTGCACTCAAGCTCACAATCTAAGGAGTGATAACAAGCAAGCAAACAACACGTATGAATAAGAGATATGTAAGTAAATAGTCAAGAATCAAAAGAAGGAAGGCACTAGAATTAAGGAATTGAGAAAGGTTTCCTGTAGAAGATGTAATTTTACTTGTTAAAACAGTGAGCAGAGATGAGGAGGGAGTGCATTTCAGCATGGAGGACGGCTTGAAAAGATGTCCAGTCCAGAGAGATGGGAATGTCTGGGGCACAGGTGTTCTGTAGTCACAGTGAAAACTGGGGAGGCTGGGAGTACTAGATGATGAAGGATTTGGAATGCCTACAGAGGGTCTTATATTTGATCCCACGGGCATAGTGAGCCAGTAGAGTTCGTTGAGGTGGGAGAAGACAAGGTCTGATCTGTGATTTAAGAAAATCACTTTGGTGGCTGTATGGAGAATGGACTGGAGTAGGAAGAAACTCGAGGCAGGCTACTGCAATAATAATAATCCATGTTGATGAGGTTGAGACTTACCCAAAGTCACACAGTTACGTGGACGATAGAGGCAGAATTAGAACCTAGGTCTCTTAAATTTCCCTCCAATTTTCTTTCCCCTACATCGCACCTCCATCTACCTTAGAAATTTCTACTAAGGGAAATAACTTCAGAAAAGTGGTCTCGTAAAGTAACGGGTGCGCTGTAACCTAAGAACCCTAGCGGGAAGAAGGGGAGAAAAAGAAAATTTTTCAAAAGGGGCGCTTCAAACTGAGGTCCAGAGAGGCTGGCACTTGCCTAATGTCACACAGCCGCTCAGGCCAGCTCCGTCTTTGCTTGGGAACCAGAGGGGACACGCATCCTTTCCCCTTCGTTCCGTTACTGGCGCGGCTCTGCTCGGGGTCAAGGGCCCGACCCGCTTTATGGGTAGGGGAGCAAGGGGACTGAAAAAGAGAGAGGAGAGATAAACGAACCCTTCATCTTTGGCCGACATCTGAGGGGGGAGCACATCCATCGCGACTCGGCTCCTTCCACTCGACGCTCTGCCAAGGCAAGCTAGGCGAGTAAGCCGAAGAGAAGAGGAGGAGGCGAGCTCTGCGACGAGTTATACGACACCGCGGCCGCGACGTCTAGCCCCGCCCCCTCCCCGCCCACAAATATGCAGCACGCTTTGTTTTGAATAAACAAACTTTATTCAACCTCACTTTACAGGGCAGTCAGACACCTGCAAGGCGCAGGCCCCGGGTCCCAACCGGAGACCGCTAGGGGGCGGGGGGAATGAGCGGTAAGCGGAAAAGCCGTCACGTGAGCAGCACGCACGTATCGCTTGCGCGGGTATGAGGGTCGGCGGACTTAGCCCTCTGTGCCGGCGGGATGGGTCGGGTCTCGGCTTCAGAGATAGCAGGTTCCGGGTTTACGTTGGCCTTGCAGCAAACGGAAGTTTGTAGCCGTCTTCTCTCGCTTTAGTCGAGGTCAGTGACAGCCGAGCCCCGGCCTGCCCCTCCCTTCTTCTGGGCGGAAGGAGTCTTTCCCCCGACCTCCAGTCGGGGTGGCGGCCTCTCTCTCTCTCTCCCCGCCTCCTGGGTCACGTTGCTTCTCCCTCCGCTAACCTGCTTCACTGTACAGATGGTCGAATGCTTCTGCTGAGCCCGAAGTCCCCGGGGATAAAAAGATAAAATAGATCTCTTCCCAGATCTGGCAGATCTCCTTGGGGAGGTAAGAGATAGGGTCTTGGGGAAGAACTGGAAGGTCATCTAGTCCAAACAAACCATCCTTCAGGTGGACCTGAGGTTCTGAGAAATTAAGTGACTTGGCCAGGGTCATCCAGTAAATGGAAGAGCTGGGATTCAAGCTTGTGTCGTAGGACCTTAGAGTGTTGTTTAGTTGTTTCAATCGTGTCGGCTCTTCGCGATCCCATTTGGGTTTTCTTGGCAGAGATACTGGGGTGATTTGCCCTTTCCTTCTCCAGTTCATCTTACAGATGAGGAAACTGAGGCAGAGGTGAAGTGACATGCCCAGAGTTACAAAGTTATTAAGTGTCTGAGGCCAGGTTTTAAGTCAGAAAGATGAGTTCCAGACTCCAGGCCCTGTATCCCATGCACTGCCTCTCTCCTTAGAGTAGGGAGATCTCTTTTATTTTAAATTCAGCCAGATGTTGAAGTGGGAGCAACCTTAGATCCAGAGCTCAAAGGCAGTCTCAGACACTCACTAGCTGTGTGACCCTGAGCAAAATCAATTAACCACCGTATGTCTCAGTTCCCTCATCTCTAAAATGGAGATAATAGCACCCCTACCTCCCAAGGTTGCAAGGATAAAATGAGGTAACGTTTGGAAAATATTTTGCAAAACTTACTAACACTATATAAATTTAGCTGTTATGTAAGGGAACCCTTTGGCAGCCTAGTGAAGCCTTCAGACCCCTTCTCAGAATATTTTTTAAAAATTCATAATTGAAGGAAATGCTCAACTCCATTGAAAAGTTAGTAAATAAAATAAAGATGTGTTTTTTCCTACCAAGATTCACAAATCACTTGAAAGCTGTCCATGGCCCCAACGCCAGTTAAGAACCCCCCTGCCTTGGAGGTTACTCAGCCTTAACCCCCTAGTTTACAGATAAGGAAACTTGAGACCCAAAGTTGTCCAGGGAGTAGCCCAATATCATACAGGTTAAGCATATAGCAAAAGAAGGATTTGAACTCAGAAGTCCTCACTCCAAGTTTTGTACACTTTTTATGATGCCAAATCCATCTCTCTTTTCACTGTGAAGAAATAGTTATAATACAAGAAAGTCTGGGTGCAAGTGATATCACCTTAAAGAATAAAGGTTATAATATCCTGGGTAAAATGACCTGCCTGGTGCTCTTTCAGCTTTTGAGGCTTGTAGCTCTAATTAAAAAAGAAAAAAAGAAAGAAAAATCATGAAAACAAACCAGGCATCCAAAAATAGAACATTAAATTAAATTTATTTTAACAAACATTGTTCTAGAACCTCGCTCTTAGCAAGTGCACTAATTTTTCAGCTCTACAAACATTAAGTTTATGTGAAAGTTCCTGTAGGAATTTAAAAAATCAAACATTCTGTGCCCTCAAGGAACTTCTGTTTCTAATGATAGATAGGTCATAACATGCACAGATAAGTAAATCCCAGATGGTTGGGTGGGGGGAGGGGTGAAAGGGAATGAGGGGAGGCTGAAATCAGAAAAGTAGTATTGAAGGTGGCACAAGAGCTGAAATTGAAAGAAGCCAAGATTTTAAGAGGTAGAGGTGAGGAGGGGAATCACTCTCAGCATAGGAGGACAGCCTGGGCAAATGTACAGAAAGGATAGATGGACAGTTGAGTCTAGGAAACAGTTCTGCTTTCTAGCTGAAGTATACACTGAATGAAATTGAGTAATATAAAATATACCTGGAAAGGTAAGTAAGAGCTAGACCATAGAAGACTTTTAATTGTCAGCATGAAAAGTTTGGATTTTTCTTAATCCTGGAGGGAGAAAGGGTCACGGAGGTTTTCTACCTATTGACAGGGTAAGACCTGTGTTTTAAGCATATTAATTTGTCATCTGTGAAGAGAATAGGTTGGAGAGGGAAGAGACTAGGAGCATGTTGCCATAATCCATTTGATAAGTGATGAGGAAGGACCTCAAGTAGATGTGAGCACAGGGAATGTGGTAAAGGTTTTGTAGAGATGAAATCAACAAGGCTTGCTAACTAATTGGATGTTAAAAGAGTCAAGGATAAATTCAGGTTTCAGACTTGAGTGATTGGAAGGGTAATGTTGCCATCACGGAAATAACCAAATTTGGAAGAGAAGTGGGTTAAGGAAGGAAGATAATGAGTTTAGCTTTAGACGTATGATTATAGATTTAGAGTCGAAAGGGACCTCAGAAGCCATTTACTACATCCTGTAGTTGTACAGCAGAGAAATTCAATCCAAGAGAGTTTAAGTGACTTACCAGAGGTCACTTGGGAATTAAAAAGGAGAGCCAAGATTCACACTCAGGTCTCTAAACTTTAGCACGCTTTCTACTATACTGTGTAGGTGGAGATGTCAGTGGGATGTCCTGTGAAATGTCCATCAGGCAGTTGGAGAGACTCAAGACTGGAATTCAAAATTGAGAGAGTAGAATCACAGAATCTGAAGTTAAAGGAGGCCTTTCTTAGTTCCGGAGAGAAAAGGTTATATGAGGGAGTAAAACCACTTGGGGCTGGATAAGTGTGTATGTATACATTTATTCAAGTGTACATATAAGCTGTCCCAAAAAAGTCTTAGTGTAATTTTAAGCTTTAGTTGCTTAAAACTGCACTAAGTTTTGGAATATCGTGTCTGTGTGTAATTGATAAAATTGGGAATCATCTACATAGAAACATTTGAACCCTTTGATGTTATTGAAATCACTAAAGGGAAAAAGTATAAAGACTGGAAGAGGATGAAGGACAGAGCCTCAGAAGTTCTTATTTTACCATTTTCTGTTTGTGTATTTAAAATTTCCTATTTGCTGAAAACATTCTGGCTTGTGATAAAACCAAGAATATTTTGTAACTCTTGGTAAGACATAGATTATCCCCAAGGGCCTTTTTTTTGGCTAGGCAGTGGGGTTAGCTGACTTGCCTAGGATCAGACAGCTAGTAAGTGTCAAGTGTCTGAGGTCAAATTTGAACTCAGGTCCTCCTGACTCTATCCACTGCACCACTAGCTGCCCTTCTAAGGGCCTTTCTTGCTCTCAAATTTTTGTGTATGCCTGCATGAGAGACAGAGTGGCTGCAAGTTCTGAAAATGGGCAGGAGAGTGAGTCATGAGTCTAAAAAGGCAGGTCAAAAGAGGAATTATCGAAAATTGGCCAGTTGCTTGAGCAGAGTATCTGAGCAAGTTAGTTACTGCTCAGATAATGTGGTAGGCTTCACTAGCATGGTTGTGAATTTTCTTGAGATGGCTATGTACTTTGAGGACTGTGTGTGGAAATGTTAAGTCCTAGAGGCAGATTTATAGTCTCGCTGCTTGTCAAACAAACCATAATGTAGGATTTTTTCAGGTAACTTTCAAAGTTTTTATATTATGGAAACAAACCAGAGGATTTCATGGTTGATATGTGCGCGATATGCATGATCTTGCATAACATCAGACATCTTTCACAATACTTCTTAGTACATTGCAAACAAAGTACACCATAACATTTTAAAACCCAACTAACTTCCAACCAATCACCAGAGAGAGGAGTTGTAGGAGGCATCAGATTAGTGTATGGTAGAAGTATGCTCCCTGTTCCACAGTGTATAATTCTAAAGGATCAGTCTGGCCTGATTCCTGTGGTTTTTATATACCTATAATTGACAAACTGATTTTGCTGATTCTCCTCCCCCACAGCAGGACAAGACTACAGTTAATACTTATTCAGGATATCACCTTGTAGTGCCAGTTAAGTCTTTTCCTGAGGCAGCCAATCACAGCCCTTTAAGAATACATCCTTCTTCCATATGACAGCTAGGTGTTGCATTGGATAGAGCTCTGGACATAGATACAGGAAAACCTGAATTGAAATCTAGCCCCAGAGACTTATTGGCTGTGTGACCCTAGGCAAAGCATTTAATTTCTGTTTCCTCAACTGTGAAATGGGGATGATAACAGCACCCACTTTGCAAAGTTGTTGTATCAAATGGAATAATATTTGTAAAGCGCTTAGCACACTGCCTGGCATGTGGTAGACCCCATAGAAACGCTTATTCCCTCTCTCCCTGTAGGCTTCCTTCTGCCGTTGCCTCTGCTCAGGATACCATTTTACTATGAATGAGCACATTGCCTTCACATTTGCTGTGTTTCTCATCTTCCATACCATCTCCAGGCAGCTGGTATCATGCATGGAACAACCAGATTACTTCTAAAACAACAGCTTTTCATCACAACACCCCAGATTATTGAAGTTGACTGTGCTATCTTGCAGAGGCTTTGGCTTTAATAAATCAGTACTACTCCCAAGAAATGGGGAGGGATCTCTATTGCAGCAGTTTCTTGGATCTAGTTTTCAGGAGAACTTGCTTGAACAAGACCACTGTTGGGTATAGTCCTACTTGACTCCTTTTAGCTCTTCCTTATTACATCTTCTGTTTTGACTCATGGTTCAGGGAACACTGAAGTACAAGTATAATAGTACCAGGTGAATCCTGGTTTCACCTTAGGTCCCAGAAGTTGCATGCAAGAAGCTATGAACTCTTAGCTTTTTTAATTCAGATGATCCGGATCTGTTGTAGGGACCAGAGACAGCCTGATAGGGGTCATCACCTGATCTGTTGATCTGGATGTTTCTGGTCATCACAAGTATTTTATCTGTAGAGGACATCACTCCCCTCATTGTTATGAGAAGATTAATTATACTTTGGTTTGTGCTGCTCCAATGCTACTTAATCTGGGGTGGTTTTAAGAATATTTTAGAGGTGGAAGTTCACCCAGGAAATTTTAGGGACCCCACCACCAGGGGGCAGGATGAGGTAAGAGGTGGTACCTGTTTGGTGTTGTGGGAAGGGTATCATCTCTTCCTGGTGTATTTTATTTTATTTTATTTTTTTACTTTTTTTTTCCTGGTGCATTTTAAATGTGCATTGAGGCCATTTTCCTTCCTTTGCCCTCTGTGATGTGAGTCCCAGCCCATAAAAAGGTGAAGTAGATGCTTCACCTTCCTTTCTACCTGCCCTTTAAGGTGAAAGCTTTCCAAGAATGGTTTGCAGTGTTGATTGTTTAGGAGAGGTCAGGTAATGTCCTCTTGTCTTTTTCAATTGACATTTTTAATTTTTACTTTTAAAAAGCTAGTTTTAATTGTGTTTTATGTTCCAAAAATCTTTAATGTATTGTGAACCTGGAACTATTTCATTTTTGTCCTCTTCAAGTCCTATCACAGTTCCTGGTACTTAGCTGGTATTTAATAAATGTTTGTTGCTTGCTTGAACACTTAAAGTAACACATGTGAGCTCACAGATATATCTTTTGGATTCCACTGAAGTGCTCTGTTATGCCTTCAGGATTTTTTTTATCTCAAAAAATTATCTCAAATTTCCTTTGGAGCTTGTTACACTATATGTATCTTGTATGTCCCTAGGCAGTTGTCTCCCCCACTAGAATATGAACTTCTAGAGGGCAGGCAGAGGGTTTTTGCTTTTGTTAATAAATGCTTGTTGACTGTTAAATGTTAAACTCTGAAATTTTGTCTTATTTGGTTTTGAGTGCAGTGATGCAAGTGAAACTGCTCCAAGACCTGGCCAAATCTCCCTACATTTTAGCAAAAATATGCCAGTGCCAAAGTCTCCCTACAGTTCTTCGTCCAACACTAAAACTCGTAAAGGAATTTGAAAAGACAACATGCAAGATGCTGATAGTAAATCAAAACTTGGGTTTATGCTGTTCTGAAACAGTAGCTGGTGTCTTGAAATGTTCATTTCCTGGACACATCAACTGGAATGTGTCAGCTGCAAACATAATATCTCAGTTGAAGACTGTGTTCTGCAGAGGTGAAAAAATGAATGTTCCATCCCTGAAATCTTTCAGTACTTCCAGAAAAATGAGTCACAAACTAAGCCTATTGTATACTGAGTGGCCTATGAAAGTAGTAGAGAGGCAATATTCTTCTATACCAACCGGAAAACTAGAAGTTCAACAAATCAAGAGACCTCTAAAAGCATCTAGGACCAAACAGCCATCCAGGGTTAACCTTCCACTTTCTTCTGCGAATGAGGTAAAGTTCATATTGTTGCTGAATTCTCTGTTTAATAATAATCATGCATTCTAGATAGCTGTTCATGTAACACTGTATCTATATGCTAGTATTCAAGATTCAGCAAGTTAAACTGACTTAATTGGTTTTCATTGTTAATTGTTCATCGTTTGACATGCCTAAAGGAAATAAATTCATAATGTTTTAATTGTTGTTAATAATAGAGGTAAGAACACAATGTTAGTATACATGGATAAATAATTTCTTAGATATTGGCCATGGAACACGTCAGAGCTTGAAACATACTGATAGAACTCTTAATTGATGGCCTCTAAGGCCCTTTCCAGCTCTAAATCTATAATTTTTAAAGTCTGTGATCTTGGTGTAGGTGTATTCCATGTCTCCAGAGATATAAAGGGCAGATTTCAAAGAAATTCTGAAACAACAGAAGGGAAATGAAGACCATTTACCCACTAATACAATATTACATGTAATATTTTTGTTACTTATGTAACTTCATATTTAATATTTTAAATAGGAAATATGTAATAACATCAAAATGTTCTCACAAAACCCATTTTTGGTCAGGTAGAACATCAGGATTTTGTGGAGCACAGTTTGGGGAAATGGCATTAGACTGTCAATATAGTATCCTTTAAAGAGAATAATGGTATTTTTATGACAAAATCCAATCTGCTGGCAGGTTTACAGAAGCAACTCCTCTGAGTTTAGAGTTTCAGTGTCAAAATGTATATTTTGTATTTTAGCATCATCCATGCATACAGATAATTGCTCCCTTATCTTTATGAAGTAAGGGGCAAATCTGGCCATTCACATTGGGAAAGTAAGAGGTGGTGTTGTACAGTCATTTTGCAGTTGTGTCCAGCTCTCTGTGACACTATTTGGTGTCTTCTTGGCAAAGATGCGGGAGTGGTTGCCATTTCTTTCTCTAGGGGATTAAGGCAAACAGGGTTAAGTGACTTGTCCAAGGTCACACAGCTAAGTTTCTGAGGCCAAATTTGAACTCAGGAAGGGGAATCTACCTGACTCCAGGCCTAGCATCCTATCCACTGTGAGACCTAGGTGCCCAGGCAACAAGGTAGATCTCTGCTATGTATTTCTTGAAATATAATATTCAGGCTTGTTTGTTTCGTTTTGTGTTTTTGGGAGGCCAGTGAATGATTCTCAGATTCTAAGCTCTGCTTTCCAAGTCAGGTTTTTTTTTAAATTGAATATTTTTTCAAGTATTACAATTTTGCTATATCTTTTGCTATTACTTGATATATCTTTGAATTATTGCATTCTTTTTTCCTCCATTTTATTCCAGGGTATCCACTGTGTGCTAAGGTTTTCCAGGTTCTCAGCTGTCCTTTTGGATTTTTACATTAAAGGCTCTATTTTAATTCTTTATCTTTTCAATTTTTAGACCTTCCAGTCCTTAGGAGTTCCTGTAGCCATTCCATTTTCTTTGCTGGGGTACTAGGGTACTTGTTATTAAATTATTCTTCTGGATCTTATTCTGAGATAAACACTATAGAATCAAGTTGTTTATTGTTGTTGTTTTAATAACAAGAGACTTAAGTAGTCAGAGGAAAAATTTATATAAGGTTATTGATTGCACAGAGTTCTGTATTAGTAACTTACAGTTATATAGTGCTTTACAGCTTATAGAGATCATTGTCTCATACATTTAATATTTGATTTTCATAGCCTTGTGAAGTTGGTGGGACAGGGCTTATTATCTTCATTTTATAGGTAAGAAAACGGGCTGAGAGAGGTTGTGACTTACTAAGTAAAAATGTTTAGTTTTGCACTCCAGCCCTATGACACCATGATCAATGTATTTATATTGCCCCATGCTAATGGCATAGAATTCTTTTTTAAAAAAATTTTTATTAATTTATTTTGATTTATCAACAATCACTTCCATATGCTTTTGAGTTGAAAATTTTGTCCCCCCTCCTCCCCCCCACCCTTCCCAAGACAGCGCACAATCTGATACAGGCGTTACATTTATATTCCTATTAAACATATTTTCACATTAGTGAAGTTGTAAGTAAAAATTAAAACCAATAGGAGGAACCATCAGAAAGATGAAACAAAACTTAACAGAAGGTAAAAATAAGTGATAGTGATTTGACTTCCATAGTTCTTTCGTTGGATGTAGACAGCATTTTCCATCCCGAGGCCTCTGGAGATGTCTTAGATCCTCGTAATGCTGAGAAGGGTTCAGTTTAACAATATTAGTCATCGCATAACTTCGCTGTCATTGTGTACAAAGTCCTCTTGTTTCTGCTCACTTCACTCAGCATCAGACCATATAAGTCTTTCCCGTTTTTTCTAAAGTCAGCCTGTTCATCATTTCTTATAGCACAACAGTATTCCATTACATCCATATACCACAACTTGCTCAGCCATTCCCCAATTGATGGGCACCCTCTCAATTTCCAATTCTTTGAATGGCATAGAATTCTATATGTAATCTTTCCCAACGTCCAGTCCACAAATTTTTACTGGTCTGCAAAATTTTGATCGTTGTTGCCGCTTCTTAAAAGTAACTAACTTAAAAAACTAACCTCTGCTCAACAAATTAAATCAGACATTAATTACTTGCTATTTGGCACTCTGTTAGTCTCAGACAATCTATAAACTTTTATTGAGCACCTACTCTGTACCAGTCACTGGGAATATAAAAAGAGGCAAAAGACCATCCTTGCCCTCCAAGAGCACATGATTATCTAAAGGGAGAGACAACTAGCCAACAAACGTGTACAAACAAGCTTGTTGTTGAGTAATTTCAGTAGTGTCTGACTCTTATTTTAGATTTGTGTGGCAAAAATGTTGGACTGTTTTGCCATTTCCTTCTCCAGCTTATTTTTCAGATGAGGAAACTAAGGCAAATAGGGTTAAATGGCCTGCACAAGGTCACACAGCTGGTGAGTGTGACATCAGATTTGAACTGGGGTCTTCCTGACTCCAGGCCTGGCAGTCTATCCACTGTGTCACCAGCTACATACAGGAAAATAGGAGTAATTAAAAGAAGGAAAGCATTGGAGTTTAAAGGAGTTAGGAAAGGCTTCCTGTAACATCTAGAATTGTATTTGAGATTTAAAGGAAGCCAGGGAAGCTGTTAGGCAGAGAAGGGAGGAAGGAGAACATTCCTGGCATGAGAGATAGCCAGAAAAAATACCTAGAGCGGAGAAAGTGTGTTTGGTTTGTTGAACAGCAAGGAAGCCAGTGCCATTGGATTGAAGAGTACGTGGTTGGGGAGTAAGGTATAAGAGAACTGGGAAGAAAGGAAGGGGCTAGGTTCTGATGGACCGGGACTGCCAAACAGCATTTTGAATTTGATCCCTGAGATTACAGGGAGCCACTTGAATTTATTCAGGGTGAGGGGATGACATGGTCAGACCCGTGCTTTAGGAAAATTATTTTGGTGGCTGAGTGGAAGATGAATTAAAGTGGAAAAAAGACTTGTGGCAGGTAGATCCCACTAACAAGTTACTGCATGAAGTGATGAGGGCCTGGACCAGGGTGATGGCAATGTCAGAGGGGAGAAGAGGCTGTATTCGAGACATACTGCAAAGGTGAAATGGACAGGCCTTGACAATAGATGGATATGAGAGAGTGAGAAATAATGCAGAATTGAGAATCACTCCTAGCTTGTGAGCCTGATGAACTGGGAGGATGGTGTTCGCCTTTACAGTAATAGGGAGCAGGACAGGGAGAGGGTTTAGGGGGAAAGACAGTAAGTTTGGTTTTGGACATGTTGAGTTTAACATGTCTATTGGTCATCTATTTAAAGTTGTCTGGAAGGCAGCTGCAGGTCTGAGTTTGAAAGTCCTCAGAGAGTTTAGGGCAAGATAGGTAGGTTTGAGAATCATCAGCATAGGGATGGTAATTAAATCTGTGGGGATTGATAAGATCACAAAGTGACAGAGGGAGAAGAGAGAGCAGACTGGGCAGAAATCAATGAGAAGGGTTCTAGGCTGTGAGAATACTGAAAAAGGAAGAGACCAGAGTCAAGAAAAATAGTTAAGAAATTACTACAGTAATTCAGAGGAGATGAGAGTCCTGAACTGGGCATAGTGGCTGTGTCATTGGAAAAGAAGAAACAGTTGCAAGAGATATTGCAGAGGTACAATCTATAAGACTTGATGGAATAATTGAATATGGGTGATGGGTGAGGAAGAGGGGAAAGTCAAAGAAATTCTGAAGTTTTGAACCTGGGTGATGAGTAAGGTTAACATTGACAGAAATAGAAAACGTAGGAGAAATCAAATCAAAAAGCATTTATTAAGTGCCTGCTATGTGCCAGGCGTTGTGCTAAGTGCTAAGGGTAGAAAGAAAGGCAAAAAACGCTCTCCTGAGCCCATAATCTAATAGAGGAGACAACATGCAAACAATTATGTACAAACAAAATATATACAGGATAAATTGGAGATAGTCTTAGAGGTTTGGGGCAGGCAGAGGGGAAAAGGGAAGGATGAAATTTTAATTATAGACAGTTTGGAGAAATGTGAAATCAGATACCTTTTCTCATATTCTTTGACTCATATCACAACTCTGGCATTGCCAGGCCAGATTTACTTAAAGCTTAGATTTAGTTGATGTCGAAGATATCTTCAGAGGTGGGGGGCAATAGAAAAGGTAAAGTGAGAAAGGTGTAAGCATTCTAAATAGTTCAGAAAGTTTGAAGTGTGACAGACACCCATGCTCCTCATTCGTGATAAATACTCGTGGACCTATAAATTGAATTGTAGGCTTACTCTGCTTACCATTATTAATTTGGTTCTTTGGAACACAATGTCACGGGATTGTTGGTGTATTGAGTCTTGGGTGCTATATAAATTCTTGAGAGAAAGACTGCTCACAGAAAAGGTGGGGGAGGGGGAAGGGAAACTCTGTTAGTTGTTTATAGAATATCCTAAGTCCTTCATTTTATGTGGGATGAAACACAGGCTTTCTTGTACCTGAAGAGAAAGTAAAGGAAAAAACCCACAATGTTAGGTGTAATATCA